GACAAACATGTTTTTGTCTGTGACAATGCTCAGACTCATTCTAAGCATGCTGATTGTTAGAGACTGGATTTGAGACGAGGGATACGTCTCTGTGGTGGAGGGCTTCGGCCTCAGTGACTCAGACCAGGAGCGCTGTGCCAAGTTACATGTCCATGCCCTAATTTACTTACTGGCAGCGAGAACTAAAAGGGGGGATCAACTCTAGTCGATTTTATCACTAGGGTGTAACCTATCTACAAGTTATGTATATATATAGTTACAGCAAGGGCAGGCCTGTGAATGACAGGGCCAAGCGGAGCAGGGCTAATGGAAGCCAACTGAATATTACCGACGAGTCAGGTTGCAGGGTTAGTGGAATGGCAGTCTATAACCCCAAAACGGAAAGGAGGGATAGGCCTGAAGGTAGACTTGCAGGGCAAGCAAGTGAATTGCCCAGCGGAGGTGGGAGTGCACTAGCAGACGTCGGAGCTGTCCGGAGACCTTTGGGGCTCTGTACTTAGGGAGGCGTAGGTAATATATTGAATTGGAGGGGTGGTGACCATTGGGGGGGTTGGAGGTGATTGCAGAAACCAGAGGCTCCAAGGTTAGTGACAAAGGAGCAGAGGGAATCCAGAGGAACAGAGGTGGTGAGGATGATGGCTGTGGATGGATATGACACTGATGATGCATTATCAGCTGTCGAAATCCCAAGCCATGGGGAGTTGTGTGACAATAGTGGCTCAATCATTTATGGTCCAGATGGAAAGCCCCACATGACTACCAAGCACATGGCTGATATGATGTTCAATGGGCAATCACAGCAACTTTATTACCCTGATGACCACCCACAGTATCCTGGGTATTCTTACTGAGCAGGGCTATGACACAACTCACTTGTGTGCCCAATGTGATAAATTCAGGTGCTGAGCCAGTGCAAGCCAATGCTGCTGCCACAATATTCCTTTTCACTCTGATGATTTCATCAACATTAAAACCCTTCTTGAAACCCATTGTGAAGCAGGTGGTTTTGATGTGCTTTTTCTCCCTGAGTTCCACTGTGAACTGAATTTTATCGAACAAGTCTGGGGATATGCAAAGTGGGTTTATTGTGAATCTCCCCCATCATCAAAGATCAGAGATGTGGAGATTAATGCCAAAAATGCTTTGGACTCAGTGTCTTTACTCTCAATCTGGAGGTATGTACTCAGTGGAATTTCAGGATTAAAATTGCTGATTATTCACAGGTTTGCAAACTGCTCACCCTGCTATATGGACACATATTGAAGGGGTCTTGATGGGTAAGCAGCATGGGCAGTGAAAAAATACCGGGGACCTTGCCAAATCCCAGCAGAGGCAATGCAGGAAATGATACGGGAACTCATGATAGTAAGAAAGCAGGTTGTATATACTTCACATTAATCAGTTGAGCCACAAATGTTTGCTGTGTACAGCCACACCAGACCTTGCTGGGATAGTGATCACTTATGTATGCTCCCTACCTTACCACCAACTATAGTGGACACTGATCATGAAAAGGCACTCCAGGCACTCTAGACTAGAGGACTTTGCTGTCCGACTTTTGTGATTGGCACCCCCTACATTTTAAGACCCAGCTATCTCTAATTTACTCACAGGTTTGGTTAACCATTGTGAGAACAAACAGGATTTTCTTAGTTATGTATTGTGTCATTTCACAGACCATCACCTCCAGCTTGGTGGATGTAAGGAATGGCTGGATTTGCATGTGTGCAGAGTGTGCATTTATTCCTTCTTTTATTCATTGTTTTCCTTGTAATAAACAACATAAAACACCTGTATTTACTGATGTAGTCACAGGATCAGGAAAGGGTTTTTCCTTACCTTTTACCCTCAACCCCATGGAATACTAAGCTCTGTACAGCCTAAACTTCTATGGACTGAGGATTGAAGGGTCACCTGGGTCAGCACCCCAACCGGCCCTTATAGTGGAGGATCAAAGGGGTAGGATTTAATCACATTGTTTCATGGATGTTGCCAGACTGAGAAAAGTAGTTCCATGACAAAATCATGTCTGCCATACAACAGAGGTTTTACCATAAAATGTGAGTTTTTCCTGGTCCTGTACATGTGATGAGTCCCACTTTTTTTGTGGATTTGACCAGAATCCTGTCATAAAATCCTGTTTTGCAAAAGGACTTAATCAGTTTCTCCTGTGAAAATATTCTCAATATGGCTGGGACTAATCCTGCTTCATTCTCGGACTTAATCATGTATCTTTGGGGATGCTATCTGATTGAAGTATGACATTATATCACATTTGAAGGATAATGTGAAAGAAAGTGATGTGGAAATAAATGAAGCTGTCATATTCATCCATGGCCATCACCCTCCACTACCTCCGTTCCTTCTGGATCACCTCTGCTCCTTCATCACTAACCTCGGAGCCTCCGGATTCCGCAACCACCTCCAACTCCCCTGATGGTCACCACCCCCTCAATTCAATATATTACCTATGCCTTCCTAAGTACAGAGCCCTGAAGGTCTCTGGACAGCTCCAATGTCTGCTAGTGCACTCCTGCCTCTGCTGGGCAATTTAGTTGCTTGCCCTGCAAGCCCACCTTTGGGCTGATCCCTCCTTTCTGCTTGTGGGTTATTGCCCATCATTCCGCTAAACCTGTAACCCAACTCGTTGGTAATATTCAGTCAGCTAACATGTAACTCCGTTAGCTCTGCTCCACTCGGTCCCACTATTCACGGGCCTGCCCCCTATGTAACTATATATACATAACTTGTAGATAGGTTACACCCTAGTGATAAAATCGACTAGAGTTATCCCCCTGCTAAGTTCTCGTTGCCAGTTAGTAAGTTAGGGCACAGATGTGTAAACTGGGCACAGCACTCTTGGTCTAAGTTGCTGAGGCCGAAGCCTTCCACCATGGGGACATGTCAGGGCACACACCCTGACTAGCCCAGACCCAGACCCGGACCCACATGTGCGCTTCCACCCTGCATTCTCCGCATGCCACATGCTCTGGGCCTGGTTCCCATCCTTCATGTGACTTCTGGGTATCCCCAGAAGTTTTCCTGATATGGTGGCCACTGTGGGAAGACGAGAAGTTAGCTTCCTTCTCATCTCCTTACCCACAGTAGGTTGTGCCCTGGATAGGGCTGGTTACACCAGAGGTTGTGGACCATAGGGGAGGGTCATGGGGACCCAGGAGTCATCCCCTGACAGGATGTCTCCTTCGTCCCGCATCTGGTCTCTGACAGAAGCAAGGGCCAGAGAATTGGTGAATTGGTACAGTGGTGGTGTCAGGGCACAAGCCCTGTGCCCCCATGTCACATGTATCAACAATGTATGTAGAGCCACATGACTAAGTGGTAGTTCCCACTATCGCTTATCATCACCATAATACCACACCATCATGACACTTATGGCCTGGTGACCTGAGGAAGCCCCATAGGACCTCACACTTTTTTAAGTGCATGAGGTGTGTTTAAACTTTACATACACACTTTGAACATTTGACTTGGTAGCATGCTGTCATATCCATATCAACCTCCAACCTACTCTGCCACTGTTCCTGTAAGGCCTGGAGAGGCCATGCATGCTCCTTTATTTCTTGTTCAATTGATTATTCTTGTATATACATTCCATTTAAGTTATTGTAACAGCATGCTTTCACATGCTTGTCTATTGTTTACGTGTATGCTGACTTCAGTGTACATCAACTCTTGTATATAAAGTGGCATGGGGTGTAGAAACGGCTCTGATGGGCAGAGGGGCCTTGGCCTCAGCAACTTGGAGTGGAGCCCTGTGCCTACATTCTGTATGTGGTGTGTGGCCCTTAACTTCAGAAAGATGGGCACAAACTCTGAGGGGGATTATCAGTCGTCAGTTTTGCACTAAGGTGCCATCAACTACAGTACATGAGTTATATACATAATTTAAGACTAAATGAGTACCTAAGGAGTGGTACCAACAAACTGGGTCATCGAGGGTGTGAGAGAATTGCCTTATTAGGGGTTTGTGGAGTGGGTATGTGAAGGGGGCATTAGTGACAGGAACTAATGCGATGGAGAACCCTTTGCAGGACAGTGGAGGTCCTTGGAGGTCTGTAGTAATTGAGGGGTGATAGAAATATTATTATTGGTCTAAGATTGGCAAAGGGGGTACTGGAGATGATACTAGAGACAGGAGGTGGAGGTGGACCAGAGTGTGACCAGAGGGTATGGTGGAGATGAGGAGGAAACAGGAGGGAGTCGAACTGGGGGGGGACTGGAACTGTAAGATAGATAGTAATCATGGGTAGTATCTACCTGAAGTGTGTAGCTCACTTGTGTGGGTTGCCTTAGTCCCAGTCCATCAAGAGTATACACTTTAATAAGCTATATATTTCAACAGGGGAGTAGTTAGGCCCTCTCCCTCTGTCCTCATTCCAGGGTCAGGTCAACACACCCATTGTGTGTTTAACATGTGCCCATGGCACCTAAACATGCCTGCACAGGCAAACTTGCTTCTGCAGTGAGAAAAAACGAGCAGTTTATTAAGAAACTGCAATCTCCTATCAAGGGAGATTGTCAGGGACAGCTCTGAAAGTGGTGAAGTCCCAGCACGGGGGACTTGATGGGATGAGTAGCAGCTATGCATAGTGGTGGTCCTCATCTGGCAATGCTGGGAGCTGTAGTCTCCATCAGCGGAATGCATGTGTCTCATGATGTTATCACGAAGCTGGCCAAGTGGCCCCCCTGCAAAAATCGCTAAGCCACTCACCTTACTTACAAAGAAAATGGCACCCAATGAATTCAGGTGGACTCCTGAAGCTGAGGAGGCAATGCAATGGCTCAAGGACTTAGCGGTCAATGCAGCACTGATCTGCTCATTGGACTTTGAGTTGGCTTCTCAAGTTAAGCCCAAAGGCCAGTGTGATGGTGATCTAGGGCTGGTTATGATTCAAGTGGACTCTTCTGTGGTTGGCATTGGATGGGTTATCCAGCAGCGCCTCGAGGAGGACAATTACCCCATTGTTTTTGGCTCCATTATGTTCAACTCTGTGGAAAGTCGTTATTCACAGCCAAAACTTGAGTTATATGGTGTACTTCATGCATTCAAGGCTGAAAGACATCATCTATATAATATACATTTCAAGTTACAAGTGGACGCATCTGCTCTAATCCAGATGATAAATTCCCCCAACTTGCCCAATGCCGCTATGACGTGATGGATAACCTACATCCTGTTGGAGATCAACCTCAAAACATGTATTTACATATATTTGTGCCGACAATTCTATTTAGTAGTCTACTCTCATCTGGTCCGACCCTGGCCCTATTGTGGCCTCATCCTATGGTTTTCTATACATCCTGATGTTCAGCTTTGAGATTGAACATAATCCAGCTGACAAGCACAAGGCCCCAGATGGATTGTCAAGACATCGGCAGGCAGATGAGGATTCCGACTTCAGTGATGGGGAGATTGCCATTGAGGAGGGTGTAAAGTTCCTCAAGCTGCTAGACCTCAAACAAGATGAGGATTTCTGTGAGATGTCCATGGCCGAGTTCCTGACTGAGGAAATCGATCCCTGTGAAACCTCCAAGATCAATGAGACCTGACTTGATAGATGCAGAGGGGAATGCATGCCCTAGAAGTCAGATGGGAGAACCCCACCCATGTTAAGTGCCTGATAGGTGGAACCTATCACATCTGTGAAGGAAGAGTAGTCAAGGACAACCCTAATGGGTCCAGGCCAGATCGCATAAGGCATGCCCACCGAATCGACGAGTACGACTCTGAGCAGTACTGGCAAACCATATTAAGGTTCCTATCAACGGGAGTGCCCCCTAGTGACAAGAAGGAGGCAGCGAGGCTTCTCCACTGAGCCAAACAATTCCTCATTCAGGACAGAGTACTTTGGAAGCGGAATGGTGACAAGCCACTCCTACAAGTTGTCTTGAGTATTGATATTGGACATCAGATCATAAGGGATGCGCACGATGGCAGTGGCCACTGGGGATGCGACCCCATGTACTTCAAGATCAAGGATTCATATTGGTTCCCAAATATGTACAAATTCGTGGCAGAATACTGTCACGAACCCACCCAGGGAAGATCCGAAATGCTACCCAGGTGGGTGTGTCTGATGGAGCTTGATGTTCCGGGTCGTCCAATGGTGGGTCGGAGACAGACTGGAGGTGGGGTGGAGCTCCGAGGGTGATGGGGTGTTGAAGGGACTCGGCTTCAGCGACTCAGAATGGAGTGCTGTGCCTGTTACGTCCTCATTGTCCCCAATTTGTCAGGGGGACTGGCAATGGAGGAACCAAGGCCACCAGTGGAAGGGGGCCAGAAGCCCCCCCTCACTACTTAATGATGGAGGTGTTAGCAAGGGTCAATCATTTTTCACGTGATTTGTTGGGTTTTATACCAAGGTGCCTTTAGACGTGTCTGTCACTCAGCTCTTGGTTCAAGATGGAGCAGCAGGCGAGTAGAATGCGATAGACGTCGTGGAAGAGGGTTTGGATTCAAGGACTTAATATTATAACTGGGGGAACTATTTACTAGAGTGGTACATGCATACATATAGCAGAGATAATTGGATCCGAAGGTAAACAAAGGTTACCAAGGGGAAGGAGAAGTAAATAGAAAGACTCCACAGGACAAATATAGAATAGGCAAAAAGCCCGAATTATGTCTGAAGTTTGTGGAGTGGGAGGATTAGAAACCAACTGAATGGTAAGGCCTGGGCCCATCTATGAGTGAGCAGGGGACTACAGGGGAAGACATCTGGAAAGGTCCAGAGCCCAGAAGTTGTAGTCCAGAAGATTGGGGTTGTAGAAAATGTCAAATGATAAAACAATAAAGAATAACATGACCAGAGGTAGGGTAGGAGTGGGGAGGTACCGGAGATACATGACCGGAGGTGCGGAGACTGTCATATCCCAGAATCCTGACCCCATACTCTCTCACCCCACTACACCTTCCTAACACCTCATCATCCCCTACACCATACCTCCCCACTTTCCAAGTTACCTTCCTCCCCAACTGTCTCAACTCTGGCCTGGACTTCAGCACATTCGCCCTTGGCCATCTCCATTCTGGAACCTTGGTCCCAAGTCAGAACATTCGGAACCTCCAGATTTGCTTGGACCTCCTGATGGTTTTCTGACATCTTGTTATATACTTCTAAACCATTCCTCTTCCCATTTCATTCAGTGGAGTCACCCAACATTCTTCGGATATGTAACTCCGGCTTCGGAGCTACCCTTATCCTCTGGTGACCCCGCTCTCATCATCTTAAATTAGTCACCTTCCATTTGTAGTCCGACTGTTGTCTTCTTTCCATTCAGTCAGCTAACTCCCCCTTACCCATTTCTCGTTCCCATTTATCCTCCGGCCTTCTACTCCGCCCTCCTTGACCTGACACCTTGGTTTCCCATCAACGAATATCGTTCGGAACCTTTTGGTATCTGTTGGTATCACTCGGACTTTGACTAAAGTCCTTCTCCTTCCTCCCTCTATATATACATGTAGGTTGTACGCCAGTTCTAATCTCAACTAAAGTTACCCCAAGTTCCCCTATGAGTGATTCCTGACCCCCTCCTACAAGACACCTCAGACCTCTGAAATGAAAGGACTAACTGAGATGCAACAGAGGCACAGCGCTCCCTCCGAGTTGCTGAGGCCGCATCCTTCTTAGAGCCTCTTGTACCACCCAGCAGACTTGGGCTTCCTGGAGAAGCTTTGGTCCACTACCAGAGCTCTCAGAACCTGTTATGGAAATGGGATTTTCCCATTTTTAGCCTCTTATGGGCTCTATGCAGTATAATATCACGTGACATGTAAATAATAACAACCGAACCAACTACTATCACCCAAAACACCCGATGTCCATGTTATTGTAAACCCCACTGTTACAACATCTGTTACATTAATTGTAACATCTTCTCAATGTCACGGCCCCCTCCTGCACCTGGACGCTATAGAAATGGGCCAATTAGGCCCCATTTTTATAACAGAACCTCTCTAGTTGAGCCCATCTGCACTCAGATGTCAGGAACGTGTTGGACACGTATCTGGATGATCTGCAAGGCATGCAAAGTCATCTGGGCTCGTAAGGTCGGAGGGGTGGGACTTCAGCTTCAGTGACTTGGGTGGAGTGCTGTGCTTCGTTCTTACGTTGTTGTCCCAATTTCAGACAGGGGCCTTACAATGTAGAGAAGAGACAAGGGGGGAAATCCAAGTTGATATATGAACTGAGGTACATCTGGTGTAACCTACACATGTTATAAGCACAAGTAACTAAATGGACCAGCCCAGAAGGAGTGGTGGATCAAGTGCGATATTAATGAATGAAGAAATGGACAAATGGTTAATGTCGGCAAACCTTGCCAACAAAAGGAAATAAGGAAACAAAGAGTGACAAAAGGGGAAACAATAGCCCACAAGCAAACAAAGAGAAAAAGGCCATCCGGCCGTCTAGCAAGCCATCTGGCTGGCAGGCGGACAACAATGAACCACTCGAACGGCAACCTTGGTTGGAAGGTACACACACAGGGAGAAAGTGTGGTTGAGGGTGACAGGTGGATGGATGGATGGATGGATGATGGTGGTAGCAGGTGGGATGGGCCAAGTGGCAATAGGATGCGTTGACGGGAATGGTGGATATGCTGGGTCGTGACATCAGATCACGCCCCTTTCAGGTTTCTTGACAGAGACCAGAAGTAAGAAGGAGGGTGGATAGGCAAGTTGAGGGTTACCAACAACAAGTGGATCCATATCCTTTGAACAAGAGGTCCGAGGAGGTGGAGGTCTGGTAGGGGAGGTCTGGAGGTGATGCAGATGTAGATGGGTGGAAGAGCAGGAGAGAGTTGAAGGAGGAGGTAGTCCTAGGATTGTTGGCATCGACCGGAGGCAGCAGAGAGAGATTGGGAGGGCTGGTGGAGGTCATAGGAGTCGTCTAGGACTAGGGAAGAGGGAGGTGGCAGATCTGGGATATGACAAATACTGCTGAACTTGTCACAAATGCCAGTTAAGATCTGTTAATAAAGATACCATCCCAATCCAGCCACAATATGTGTGGACTCTCTTGTGACGTTTTGATGCAGACACAGTAGCCATGCCACGAGGGAAAGGAGGCTACAAGCACCTCATAGACTTCACTGATAATCTGACCGGATGGACTGAAGCGAAGCCACTCAAGAATATCAAGTCAGAAAATATTGCCAAATTCCTATTCGATGTTATGTGTCGGTATGGCTGTATACAGCTCACAGTAGACAATGGGAGCGAGTTCCATGGTGCAGCACAAGTTCTCATGGACAAGTACAATGTGCCCATCTGTCAGGGCAACCACACCTGACCATACAACCCCAGAACCACCTTCCCTAACCTCCCCCCACTTCCCTCATCCTCCCATCTTTCACAACTACAGCCCGCATGCGAACCCGTGGGAAAAATCACATGGGTCAAGGCGAGCAACTCGCCTTAACCCATGTGACACCTTTTCCGCATCGCGGGAACATGCTCGGCTTCTACCCATAGTCACGCTACGAACTGTACAGTACATTTCCTTTTATAGCAGCCAAGCAGGGAATAGGGAAACTTACCCTTCTTCTCAACTCAATCCCCGCTTAGGCAAGTTGTAGCTACCTTCCATAATACATGACAACTCAATCCCCGCTTAGTGAGTTTGAGGAGCTTGGGATAGGATCCGGCACCTGGCTGCCTGGGACACCGCGAGTGTCCAGCTTTGAGGTAGGGCTGCCCCCGGACGGAGGCCGGGCCCTGACACCATCGTAAGAGCTTCAGCATACAACCCTGCCACTAATGGAAAAGTCGAGCGCAGACATGATGTCTGGATTGAAAGTATTTGGAAAGTGCTCAAAGGCCGCACCAATGAGTGGCCCAACTTTGTAGGCTATGCCCTTTGGGCAGACAGAGTTACCACTAAGTCCACAATGGGCTATTCCCCCTACTACTTGCTGTATGGACAGCACCCGCTTATGCCCTTCGATGTCATGGACAGGATGTTCTATGCATTGGATTGGCCTTCTCTGTATACAACTAAAGACCTTCTAGCCATGAGAATCTGCCAGATTAGCCAGAGAGACGAGTTCCTTGACTGGGTGGTGGCCCAGAGCTACGATGAGAGAAAGAAGGCAGCTGATAGGTACTATCACCGCCACACTGCCAGGATGAAGGACAGCGACTACCAGCCTGGAGAGTTTGTCCTTGTCGCAAATGAAAGGATTAAGCTGCAGCATGACCAGAAGGGCCAGCCATGATGGTTTGGACCATATATGGTAGTCAAGAGGCTCCGCAGTGGTGCCTTTGTTTTGCAAGAACTAGATGGGATGGTCCTCAAATGTCCAGTGGCATGGAAACGAGTCAAGTCATACCATTTTAGAAATAACAAAGAACCAATAATCCGAGAACCCGTTAAGCTTTCCGAAAGTTATGAGGAACTAGACAATGAGGCAAATTACGCATCCTACGCCACTAAGTCCAGGCAGCCGACTCTGCCCAAGCCCTGGGAGCTCAAGGGCGAGAAGCTAGCTGAGTATTGGGAAGAGAAATACGAGCACATGTGCACCAGGGCCGAGAATTCAGACCTGAGGTTCCCTCCAAGCCAACATGAATATGAACTCAAGAAGTTCATTGACGAAGACGCACAATTCTGGGATTTTCGCTACACCACTCAAGACAGGGAAGATGGTGACTTGAAACGGTTCAAGACCTTGCCTCCCAGCTGCCCTGACTATTTGATTGGCTGCCCTGGGACGGAAAGGGCTCTTACATTCCTCAGAATTCTTATTCCACACAAAGCGATCCTGAGCATGAGTTAGAAGTTAAGTTATTATTGGGCGAGCCAACTATTGAGGTTATACACTCAAACAAAAGCCCCATGGCTATTACCACTCTCGCCACTGAGCCCAGTGGCCTGACTAATGACGAAATGCCCTTAAGAACAACACAATGAAAGCTTGACCACTACCCCCTGTTTCCCTTTGAGTGCTCCATGGCCTACAGCAACTCTAACGCACCACACACATGTCGCAGTAGGAGTCAAGAACACTATCCATGCCGCTCACCAGAACCCACCTGTGAAAGATATGGCAATCGAGGCCCCAGTCGATATTCCCCACAAGGAAGAGGTTCATCATATAGACCTCAAGAAGGCAGATGTGCCTTCCGATGATCCCCCCATCTGACAGCAAGAGACAGATAGTGAGCACACCATACGAGAGCTCCAAGCCAAGTTAGACCAGACCATGGTGCTGGTAGACAACAAGACAGCACCTAGAAGAACGGCATTGCCATCCCCTAGGTCAACTTCGGTGGCACCACCCATTCAGAAGGCTGCACCACCCACTGATAGTTCCATTGAACCAAGCAAGATGCCCATAGTCTTAGTACCGCGCACCCCTGAGCTTCCTCAATGGAGGCAGAGGCCTGGCAAGTGGACTGCTGCACCCCACTTTGCTGTCAGAACAAAGAGATGTTCATCTGTCAGAAGTCACCACCATCAAAGAGAAGGTTGAGGAAGAACCCAGGAAGCCACCTGTTCCATACAATCTAGTGCCCTGTCCTCCCCACCTCCCCTTCATAGGATCAGACGAAGACACTCAGGACCTTATCAACCAAACCCTCAAACGTCTCAATGAGCTCACAGATTCAAGTTTCCTCCTCAAAAGCGCTCATGAAGGATGGGCAGATATCTTGTTTAATAAGCTCAGCAATCTAGAGACCCTCACTCAGCATATTAATGAGCACACAGTGACTCTCATGGATGGGTTCAAGCAGACATTGGCTAATGTGCTTAAAACCTACAGCTTGTTTGAGCTTGAATTCAAGAAGACAGTCGATGCAGCCCAGGTGATCCAGGCTATGTTTCTTGCCCTCCATGAGGACACCCTTTCTAGTCACATTGAAGTTCTCGTTGGGAACAAGGGGGGTCAGTTATGGAAATCCTAAACATCATGTCCCTTTTTAGGATTAGGGCAATGTGCGAGACCCCCCCCCCCCCCCCTTCAATTCAATCAGCAGTATCCATCATTTCTGTCATATCCATCCATGGCCATCACCCTCCACTACCTCCAGTCCTTCCGGATTACCTCCACTCCTTCGTCACTAACCTCGGAGCCTCCAGATTCTGCAACCACCTCCGACTCCCCTGATGGTCACCACCCCCTCAATTCAATATATTACCTATGCCTCCCTAACAGTAACTCGTGAAAAGTGATAGATGCTCCATGGGCTCCATGGAATTTCATGGAGTTCCATGGATTTTCTGACAAATTACATGACTTTTACAGCCTCCCATGGGTGGTCATGGGCTTCTGTGGATGTCCATGGAATCCCATGGATATTCATGGACTCTCATGGGTGCCCATGGGTGCTCATGGACACTGTCAGAGACCAGGTTGAGACGAGGGAAAGTCTCCATGGCAGAGGGCTTTGGCCTCAGCGACTTATGCCAGGAGCGGACCTCTCTTCAAAACTTGGTGAGAATGGCAAGCTAATGCTGGAAGAGCATAAGCGCTGTTTCGACAGGAATCTTTGTATGTTTTGCGGTTTGTCTGGCCACATGGTCAAGGACTGCCCAAAATCATCTTCTCACATGTCTAAGGCACGAATTGCCCAAACTGCACACTCTACGGCTCCTCCTGTAGAGCCAAAAAATTAGTTTGCGACTCCATGGACTCAGCACAAACCCGGGGTTGCGTTACTCCCTTGCATGCTATCAGAGAGGTTTGCTTAAGTGCTGCCTCAATATCCGAAACATCCTCCCTCACCATTCCCATTTCTTTTGTCCCTTTTTCTTCTTCTATTCTTTCTGAAAATGGTCTACTCTCTCCTCCTCTGTCTCTCCCTTCTGTTGTTGATTCAGGAAAACTGTTTTCTCCAAATGGTCTACCTCCTCATCATCTGTTGCTCTGAATCCTTTGTCCTCACTTCCTCTTTCTCCTTTGTCTGTTACTTCTGTCCCTCCTATTAATAAAAACATCCCTGATGCGCAATACCAAGCTCTCATTGATTCAGGATCGTTGGATTGTTTCATTGACGAAAAGTTCGTGATTAAAAACAACCTGTTGACCTATCCAGTTTCACCTTTGTCCCTCTGCTTGTTTGATGGGACCACAAATTCTGTCATCACTAAAGCAGTGGACATAAACCTCCATTTTGCTTCCGGTAACATCACCTAGACGAGTTTCTACATCACCTTGTTGGATGTTACTTGTTCCATGGTTCTAGGACACAACTGGCTCACCTGCCACAATCCGTTGATTGACTGGGTAAAGAGCAGTATCTCGTTCCGAACCTCTGAACATACCAGTCCTGCCTCCATGTGCACCCCTCAGTCGCATCCGGAACTTATTCTGCCTGTTGACTCCACTACCCCAATTACACCGATTGCATCTGACGACCAGGCTCCCTCCATCAAGTTCATTAGCTGCTCTGCATTCGCAAAGTTGTGCAAACTCGAAGGTTCTACTTCATATAGCCTGAGCACACTCCTGTTAGAAGCTAAGCTTCGTGCTGCTTCTTCAGCCTCCAAAAGTGTTGACCTTTCGGCCGTTCCAGAGCAGTACCACGAATTCACAGATGTGTTTAGCAAGAGCAAAGCCTCTATACTAGCGCTGCATTGTGAATATGACTTAAAGATCGACCTTGAGGAAGGCACATCACCACCCCTAGGGACCCTTTACTCCCTCTCTCCCCTGGAACTTGAAGCTCTTTGCGTGTTCTTGGAGGAACACTTAGCTTCCAGTTTCATCCGCCTGCTACATCCTCCCATGCAGCACCAGTTCTCTTTGTCTGCAAGAAGAATGGTTTGCTCTGCCTTTGCATTGACTTCCGAGGACTGAACAAGATCACGAAGAAGGATCGTTATCCACTTCCCCACATATCAGATCTCCTTGACGCTCCTAGCCATGCCAAAGTCTACACTAAACTTGACCTCCACCATGTGTACCACTTGGTCTGTATTGCTGCAGGCGACGAGTGGAAGACTTCCTTTCGCACCCGCTATGGATCCTACAAATGGCTAGTCATGCCGTTTGGTCTGACTAATGCCCCTGTGGCCTTCCAACGATTTGTCAACATGATCTTCGCTGACCTCTTGGATGTTTCCATGGTTGTGTATCTGGATGATATCCTCACTTACTCTGAGGATGTTGCTTCTCACCAGGAGCATGTCCATGAGGTTCTCTGGAGACTCCATGCTAACAGCCTCTACACCAATCCAAAGAAATGCAAATTCCACACCGATACTATGGAGTATCTCAGCTACTGCTTATCTCCAGTTGGACCCACCATGTCTGTGGAGAAGGTTAAGGCTGTTCAGGACTGGCCTGAGCCCTGTAAGGCTAAGGACATCCAGTCCTTCCTTGGCTTCGCAAACGTCTATCGGTGTTTCATCCACAAGTATTCTGACATTGTAGTACCCTTGACATGGCTCACACATAAGGATGCTCTGTTAGAACCGGGCGAGCGACTCAAGGGGAGTGCTGTGCCATTGCTGTTTGTCCATTTGGTCCTTAATTTCAGAAGCAGTGAGCAGGAAGTCTCTAGGGGGCATTTCTGGTCGATTTTAGACTGAGGGTCCAAAATGAGTATGTACAAGCGCCTGTATATAGTGGAGAGACGAAAGCACAAGGAAATCAAAGGGAGTCTGAATCGGAACAAAGGCGTCCGAACGGAGACAAAGGGATGACAGAAGTGGAGCGGTACCGAAGGTCATAGGTTAGACTCTGTGGTACATCTGAAAGGAGATAGGGAGGGCAAAGCCCAGAGGGGCAGGAGGATGAGGTGAAGTGGGGATGATGACTAACTGGCTAAAATGGAAGGAAGCAGTAGTCCAAATAGGGATGAGGGAAAGTGCGAAAGATACATTACAAGCGGCGAAAGTGCCGAGTATGGTCCGTGAAGCTCAGAGGTTGCAGAGCTTATGGAGGTTGTGGGAGGTGGGGTTGAAAGTCCAAGGAATATTGGCAATGGTGTTTACGTAGAATGAGGTCACCAATGCAATGGACTTAAGCCAAGGTGGAGTCAAAGTCTGAGGTCGGAATCATGATGGAATCTCGGAGCGAAGGTATGGGTGGTGTCCGAGTACGAGGTACGGGACGGTGGCAGAAGGTCGTAACTTGGTGGAGGTTTGGCAGAAGAGGGACAGAAGGAGAGGAGCGAGGAGGGGAGTGAGAAGAGGAGTAAGAGGAGGAATGATGTCAGGTCCAAAGGTGAATATCGGAGCAGATGGAGGTAGGGTAGGAGAGGGACAGATGGGGAGGAGGTGACATGAGGAGTGAGGAGGAGTAAGAGGAGGAGGGTGGTGAGAGGAGTGATGTTCAGTCTGAAGGTGGATATTGGAGCAGACAGAAATAGGGTAGGACTCTGGAGGTGATGAAGTGGAGGGTCCAGGAGTCGGATTGGGGTCGGGTTTGTATGGATATGACATACTCTATGGCTCTTCTCTGACAAATGTCACTCTGCTTTCCATCTTCTTAAAGATGCCTTCACCTCTGCCCCCATCCTTACTCATTGGGTGCCTGACGCTCCGCTCATTGTGGAGACAGACGCTTCCAATTATGCAGTATCAGGGATCCTCTCCATCCATTGTTCTGACAGAGAGATATGCCCTGTCGCTTTTCGCTTGCATACATTGTCCCTGCCGGAGTTGAATTACAACACCCACGATAAGGAGCTCCTTGCAATACACAAGGCATTTAAAGGCTGGCCTCATTATTTAGAAGGATCTGGAGACCCAATCAACATTGTCACTGATCACAAGAATCTCGAATACTTCTCCACCATGAAGCTCCTGACGTGGTGTCAAGCCTGTTGGTCTGAGTTTCTATCACAATTCAACATGATAGTCTGCTTCCATCCTGGAAAACTCGGTGCCAAACCTGATGTGTTGACTAGACGTTGGGATGTCTATCCCAAAGAAGGGGATATGGACTATGCTCACGTCAATCTGCAGAACTTCAGGCCCATTTTTTCATCGGAATTTCTCGCATCATCCCTATGAGCTACCTATCTGGCTGCTTCCATTATTGAAGCTAGTTCCATGGTCAATACAGAGACATTGCACACGGACATCATCTCCACACTTCCCTTGGATACTTTAGTATCTTCACATCTCTCCTCTCCCATACCTCCCGACTCTCGTTGGTCACTAGATGCTGAAGGCCTGTTGAGGCTGGATCACCGCATCTATGTTCCTGACCTGAATGATCTCCGACTTCGGATCTTGCATAATAAACATGATCATCCGCTTTCAGGCCACTTTGGCCAGAATTGGATGCTGGATCTGATTCATCGAGATTACACCTGGCCCGGAATCCACACCTTCATCAAGAATTATGTCTCATCTTGTACATCGTGCACCTGTGCCAAGGTCCCTCGTCACAAGCCTTTCGGCTTGTTGAAACAACTCCCCATCCCTGAATGTCCTTGGAACTCCATATCCATGGATTTCATAGAACAACTCCCCTCCTCCTCCGGTTTCACTTCCATGCTGGTCGTCGTGGATCGTTTATCGAAGCAATGCATCTTCGTCCCCACATACAATACCATCACCTCACCAGAGCTGGCAAAGTTGTTCCTCCTCCACATGTTCTCCAAACACAGAGTTCCTTCCCATATCACCTCCAATAGGGGTCCAGAGTTTGTTTCACATTTCTTGTGTTTGCTTGGTAAAGCCCTCAACATCTGCTTCCACTTCACCTCTGGTTATCACCTGGAAGGAGATGGACAAACTGTCATATCCATCCCTGGCCATTGACTTCCACTCCCTCCGATTCCTCCGGTCTACCTCCGCTCCTTCTTCACTAACCTCGGAGCTCCCGTATTCTGCAATCACCTCGGTACCCCTCGATGGTCACCACCCCCTCTTTTCAATTTACTACCTATGCCTCCCTAAGTACGGAGCCCTGAAGGCTTCTGGACAGCTCCAACGTCTGCTAGTGCAC